GCCTATAATTAAAACAAGACCAGCATTATAGAAACATATATACTAGCTGGCCTGTAACTGGATGGTCTGTTTAGTTTTGTTTTGACGTACGGTATGAAACAGCATTTAACAGATGTTGGGAAATTAGCTCTCTGAGCTGCTCATATAAACTTGCAGCAGAGATGCTTGTGTATGAATTAATTTCATCATCGAATGTGGGTATTAATGGCATCAGGCATTTTTTAATCTTTGTGCCTATTCTACTGTGCTTTGAGTCCTCCTTACCAAAAAAGATAGAGACTTCTTGAGAGAAAGCTAAGTGACTGTTGTAGCAATGCTTTCTAGTGCAGTACTGATGATTCTGTGCTCTTGCATAAAACACATTGCCTTGTACAAGCCCACCAGTGAAAAAAATGAAGAAAAGTGTCAATTGTTTCCATTATATAACCTCCATACAGAGTGTTGACAGAAAAAAAAAACAAACCAAAGAAACCAAAATGGGTGGGTCTCCCTTGGCAAGTTGCAACTTGGCAAGTTGTCCCTCTCATTATAGGTGATGCTAACTGATCATGCAAATCATGTAGTTGACATTCTTATTCCTGCTTAAATAGCATACATCCAGAAAGGTGACAGGTCTTCCCTCTCCTTCTGTTACCCAGGGGAATGCAGTATTGAAGCTTAGATTCCCTTTTATGGCTTCCAGGATGAAGTCAAAGCAGCATGAAGAGGGGAGATAGCGAACTGTGGCTTGCCCCTCTCTATACTGGCAGGGAAACAAGGCAGGTGAGGTAGAGAGTGGAGGCAAGACCTGGGACAAAGATTAAACCAGAAAAGAATTAGAAGGGAGGCATAGCTGACAGCTTTAAAAAGTCTTAAGTGTTTCTAAAGCAACAACTATAATTTTAAAAGCACACACACACACCCCCCCTCCAATTACAAGAGACATGTAATATTAATTTAGGGTGAGTGGGCACACATGTTATCAAAATCACCGTCTTACCTGCCAACTCCACCAAATTTTCCAGTGCTTGGATATTTTCTTCCACTGCTCTGTGGAATTTCTTATTGTAATGTCCTCTGTGCTTTTTTTTTTCCACTTTTTTTCTTTTCCTCAGTTGTTTTATCCAGTTACTAAACCTGCGTATGGTCTCCTCCTCTGATCGGCTCTCCGAGCTAAGACAATACTTCATGACAATCACCAAAAAAGAAAAGCAGTCTCTGAAGATACTGATGTGATTAGGGAGAGGGGCCAGGGACTTGTGCTGAATGCTAGAAGAGCCCTTTATAACCACGGCAAATCAGTAAGTTTGGGCTGGACAACATGGCAGAGGAGAAGCGATGTGAAATATGAGTTAGGGAAGCATGCAAAACAGAGGGAAAGTAAAACGGCAGATATAAAACTGGATTTTCATTTTCCTGTGTTATCAATGTGTGACTTTACTAGGAAGAAGATGCTTTTCTTTGCTGATTCTTTGAATTCTCTGTACCACTTCTTTACTTCAATATTGTGCTCTTAACACATCTGCACAACAAAACGTGCAGATGTAAGTTCTCTCTGTGCCTTAAGCCTATGAAAAGCTATATTAGCACTGCACTAAATCTGAACTAATGCACCCTGTCCCTCAGTAAGGACTAATAGCTTAGGATCAGCTTCACGCTAACAGCTTTTGAGCTGCCTGGAATGGAGGCAAAGTGAGTTTTATCCTCCCACAATGTACTTTGTAGAGCTATCCATATTGGGTCTAATTTGGAAGAAGCATTAAAAGCTTTCTTCATACATGATTTTGCTTTTCATTGCTATATGTCAAAGTGCTTTGCAAACGAGGCAAGCATCACTGCCCATATTTCACGATATGCAATACTAGGACAAGCAAAATACAGTGCCTGCCCTTAGCTACGCAATGGGCCAGCTCTGGAGCCTTGTTCAGATCACCATTACCGTGTCCATTAGTTTCTAACTGGCAGCTGTGGGATTGTTCAGATTCTGCGCTAATATTCAATCCCATAATTCTTTATATTAAATCTTGTGTTTATTAATAAATGTCCACAATGGCCAAATTAGAAACACTGAAAGGCATTCTATGCAGCCTAAGTTTTTCTAGTTTAATAACTACAAAATCAAAGCAGAATTATGTCAATCTGTTGTGAATATGTGCAGAATTTTAATGTCTATAAGTTGGAGTAAGCAATAACAATACCCCTATTAAAACATGCATCGGTTGTCACGCATCAAGTTTCATATCTTTACGCAGAAAATGAAAGAAAATGCTCCTAAAGATAACTTCCTCTAAGTAGGTTTTGGTTACAAATTAATTAATATTCCAATTAGCTTTAAGAAGTTGATTGTATGAACTACACAATGTTCTACATTCTCCTATTTACCTTTGTTGCTATTTTCCAAAGACAGGATAAAACATTAATGACATCTCCTAACCCATAATTCAAGCCTGATTTAACTTGATTATCTTCTGTGGCATTGCATCAGCGATTCATTTGGATTTAAACATTTCAGGTTGGTTTACATATGTAGCAATAATTGTGCTGTTCAGAAAAATGTGGTGCCATCATGTGGACAATATTGAGAAGTGTAAAAAACGTTTTTTAAAAGAAAAATTAGGTAACAGATAAATATCTGTATCGATATCATGAATTGGCTGAATTATAAATACATATTATATGATACAAGAAGCTATGACCAAATCTGTGGTTTTAAAACTGTATTAGGTAAGAAGAAAAATTGTTAATGGAATCAGAAATTGTTGATTCCATCCTGTTTATTTTCCAACTCAGGAAGTCCTTTCCCATGAGCACAGACTGATCAAAACACACACAAGAGTCTCCAAGCCACTTTTAATCAGCACGTAATTCCAACATTACCTACTTCTGTGCTCATTTCTGCATCTGTTTATCTCTTTGGTTTTCCTCTAAGACTTCACAAAACTTGGTTTTGTACAGCCTGCATTGCTTCTCTCCCACACAAATGTGCACACACTCACACAAACACTCCTATCCATGACATTAGCTGGCCAAGGCACTCTGCCCACACAGTTCTCATTCCTGCATGAGTTCACACGAAGCTTTATTTCAGCAATGGTTTTGGTTTAAGGCCTCTTCTTGTTACATTTAACCAAGAGGAAAGAGACCTTGCCAGATTCAAAACAGCTATCCCTAATACCGATAAATGACCACAATGGTCAAATTGCAAACACTACAGTGCACTCACACAGCCCAAGTTTTTCTAGTTTAATACCTACAAAATCAAAGCAGAATTATGTCCATCTATTGTGAAAATGTGCAGAATTTTAATCTCTGTAAGTTGGAGTAATAATAGTGCCTCTATAAAAACATGCATCCTTTGCCATACATCAGGTTTCATATCTTTACATAAAAAGTGAAAGAAAAAGTTCCTAAAGATAATTTCCTCTATAATACCCCTTCTGTAACAGACCTGTGAAGGTTTGCACGAGTAATGTGATTCAAAAACCGTCCTCTGTGATACACTCCCCCAAAGCAAACCTGCACATCACAGAATGGTAATCTCTCCTGCTCTGAGACCCTGTATGCCAAGTGTTAGTTAGCCTATTCTGCAGTCTGCTGGTTTAATTAATATTGAATAAAGGCGAGAACTTTTAATGCCTTGGCAGTGACTTTAAAACAGATAGTCTGTCTGGGATACAGCTGGAAGACAGAACGTGTTTGGATCAGTCCCTTCTTCTGTAAAAGTTTAGTGGTTTTGTTCTGGTAAAACTGAAAAGGTTTGATTTGACCTTTATGAACATTCAAGATCTTTGGAATCCTTTTGGAGAATTTATGTAGTATTTTACTCAAAAATTCACTCACTTTGTGCAGAAAGAGCCTGCTTTTGTGGTACAGTAAGAAAGAGAACATGTATACACGTAGCTTTACTAAATGGATATAGTGGAATGTCATACATTGAGAAGATTCTCTCTGGTGCTCTTTCAGCTTCTGTTTAAAAACAGGTAACTCTATGAAGTAATGACATCCGTTTTCTATGCCTTTGCATCTCATGCTTGGTTGATTTTGTTGTGTAAGAAAATGTGAGTTCCAGTGGAAATTTTCCACCACTCTTGGACCATTTTTTTCTTGTGGCTTCTCTGGTGTCTAATTAGGTATGAACATAGACTTGCAATCTTTTTCTTACTGGATAAACTCACAGTGTTACTTATTCGTTTTCTACTTTGGTATTTATTTTCATGAAACTTGTGGGGGCTTAATTTTCTTTAGCAATTTTACCTTGCTGTCAAATTTGGTAGAAATTATTAGGGATTGAAAAATTTGGAGGGTGGGAGGCAAATGCAACATGGTGACGCATGGATAGGGCTGTCAGAAATCTCTAGTCTGTATCCCTGTGCTCAAGTTCTTGATTACTTAGCATTTAAATGTTTAGAATACATGGACAAAGGTAAAAAAATAAATTTTTACCTTTTTTTAATTAATTCCCATAATTCTGAAGCTAATCTTGAGATAAAGAGACCTCACTTGTGATTTTTTAATAATTGGCAACATTGTGCTAGACAGAGCGTGGAACAAGCTCAACAACCAACTTTCTTTCAGATGAACTTTAAATGTCAAAGTATCCCATGATAACTTGCCATGAGTCTGGTTTTCAGTGTTTTGGAAACTGTACACTCATCCTTTTAAAAATTGTGACACTGGTTTGGTTTTGGAAGAATTGGTTAAATACGCTCTGAGGGCCAGTAAGATAGCAAAAATTTATTAGATTTCCTGGATTCTGACATCTTTTGCCATCAGTGAACAAGAAAATGGGAAAAAAAAAACCCTTCCTGATTCAAGAATTTTTGATGTTGTCCATGGTCCATCAAATTTTATTAGTTTTTGCACACTGTATAAGCTCAATGAGTTAATGAGATTATGCAATATTACTAATGGTAGACTTCCCGTTTTTAAAACAAACATCTCTAAAACTAAAATCTGAGCAGAAGAACCAAGAACCAGAATCTCATCAGCCTCTGTTGGTTGTAGTCTGGGATTTTTATATTCTACGTCTCTTCAGAAAACTCATTCTTTCTGATCCCACCTGGTTGAGGGGTGGGTCTATCAATCATTGTACCATCCTCATCGCTTGGATTTCCTGTAACTATTACCCAGTAATTCTTATCTTCTTCAGCTTTATGGGAGTCCAGATAAGTGTGACAAATTACTTCATATTCTTTTCCAAAATAAGACCTGCAAAGTCAGAGAAGAGGGGATGGGTGGGCAAATTAATGTATACATAAATTCATCAAATCTGCATTATTTCCAAATTGTTCAAGGCTTTCTGATGTTTCTCTTGGCTTATTCAGAAATATCACCATGCACCTTCAAATATCAGACTGTTACAAGAAACACAATAGCCCGCTTTGTTTCCTATGAGTAATTTAGGAATTTGAAATCAAAGGGAAATGCCACCTTTCTAGCTTCAAAGCTAAAGCAGCCCCATCAGTATAAGGCACTGATACACCGACTCAGTATGCACAAGCTGGTTAGGGTCTCACCTCCATTCACATCACCATTTCTCTCTGGCTGAGGAAGACTTTACTAAATAACTGTTTCAGCCTCAAACTTTCAGACCTTGTTTCAGCCTCAAAAACCTGATACAAATCCTCAGTCAGATTTAATGGGAAACAATTGGTATACTTCTTAACAATGCTTAATCAAAATTAACTTAATGCATGTGTATTAACTTGAATTGCTGGATTAACTTTACTTTGTTGAGAGATCGATTCATATAGACATAAGCGATATACAGTTTTATGCAGTGTGCTTTTATTTAGTTCTTTTACTCCTTACATTTCCTAGTATATAATTTTTTTCTTAAAAAAAACCCAAACACGCAAACAGCTGTAATTGCTCAAGATATTGAAAGGGAGAACCACCAAGAAACTAAAGAAGGCTAGAAGCATGATATGATATGAATTAAAAATAATAATAATTTAAAAAAAAACCAAAACACAAATAAGACTGAGCTGATTGTCTGCAGCATCACAGTGGGCACACATTACAGCCCAGAAATAAAATAAGGGAAAGGAGAATGTGCATTCTACATTTTTTTCCATTTCTTCAGTGCATTGCTAAAGCAACTGTCTTGCTTCTTACAGTAATTCTTGATGTTGGAGCACCATTATTTACATCCCTGCCAGTCCTAAATTATTCTTACCATGTCCAAAAGTTCCTTGGAACGGCTAAGCTCCGATTAGTATGGCAATGAGTAATAATCATTTTAGAGTTTGCCTGGAAAAAAAAAACAAGGCAAGACACTTGAGAGACATTTTTACACTAACTTTAACCATTCTTATTCAAATAAAATGCTTTTATTTTTATTTTTGCTTAGTGTAAGCCTGCATTCTCTGTATCACTCTGAGACTGCTGTACATTGATAGCGAGATATTTTACACACTATCAGTTCTCAACACGACTGTCTTAACAGCTCAGATCAGTCAAATGCTTAGCTCTCAGGTCAGACACATTCTCCTGTCCAATACATTCCATTTCACTCCCTTGTGCTGGACACTTAAAAAAATAAAATAGAATAAAATAAAGTCAAGCAAGCAGTAGAGTCATTCCAGTGGCCTGTGCCATCAGGGTAATTCCTTTTGCAATTGACATGTGCCATATGAGAGATCCACATGGTTTGGGGACACAGCCTAGATATGGACCTTTATATTTTACCAATTTGCAATTTTTGATGTATAACAGAATTAATTTTTAGTCACCCCTATTTACCAATACTGTGAATAAACAATGTTGTCTCTGACAATTACATAATTTTGACTGTGTTTACTAGTACACTGATTCATGTAAATTAGTCACAGTTTTAGGCTGTAGAGGAACATTTGTGGTATTTTACTATACACCAGCACTTCAGGAAGCCTAGCAGTTATGTGGAACAGGAAAATACTGTGTCTGCTTAATGTATTTACAAAAGGTTAAAAACCACATTTGGAAAAGCATATCCACTTATTCAGATGCATTGGGGTTTTTTTTAATACTTTTATAATTTAATGTACAGGAGTTCTGAATTAATCACAGCTCCTAATGTTGGATATGCAATTTAGCGCTCAGAAGACCTGAAAAGCAGATTCCAACCACTGCATCCTCACAACATGATAATGTCAACCTTTAAAAAGTTCTGCTGAGAAAAACTGAGCAAGTCAACCTCAAAATGAACGCCAGAACCTAATAGCTGTATATGCAGATTTCCTGGTTAAAGAGATTATTCCTTCTCTCTCTCCCTTCCTAAAATTACAGGTCAGAACTTAAATAAGGAAAATATATGAATAAAATGGACACATCTTTTTTTCTAAGTAATCCATCTACTCTTTCAATTAAATCTTCGTAACATTTTCTACAGTTTTAATTTCTTACAGGAACTGGATATCCTTCATATTCAAGACGCAGCTGTGGATCCAAGAAGGTAGCTTGCCAGCAAGTCAAATAGGAAAGCTCAGCTGTCAAAAATACTTGCTGAAGGTAAGATTTTTTAGCAAATCTTATAAATGATTTATGGTCACTTGCTAGATATAACTGTAAATAAAAACAAGGACAGCACAAATATAAGAGAAACAAGATATGTAATTTTAAAACAATACTTTTCAACACAAAAAATTTTCTCTCGGCTCCTGAAAAATCAGTCTGCCAAGCTAAAGCTACACATACAAAGCCCATAACATAGATTCTATACTGTTGGCAAACTCATTAAGGACCTATTCCATACACAGACTGGTGAATACTAATTTAAAATTGAATTTACATTCCAAAGATTCTCTCTCACCAAAGTGGTCATTGAGAGGGAATTTTTTTTCAAAGTTGTGGTGATTTATTTTGAGTGCATATGTAACATACAATGTCTTATTTGCTTCTAAGTTGCAGAGGTGAACAATGTTAACATTTAATAGAAATCTGCTTCCTTAGAATGATAGAATATGTTACTTATGATACCTATGATAGATTTATCTTCACAAGAAATTAAATAATCTCATTTTGGATTTATTTAAAGAAAAAGTAAAAAAAATCCTCCCTCTAATGATGAATTCTTTCATGATTCACAAGCTAATTTTAATTTCCTTTTTTCTTTTCTTTTTTAAAATCTGCTTTATCCAGTCATTCTGGCTGACAGCCCCCTTGGCCTGCACACCTGATCTCAGGCAAGTCACATAAACTTTCTAAATATGTATTGCTTATCTTGATCTATGTATGATTCTGAATCTGTTCTGTAAAGCTAAGATGTTGAATCACTGTACAACTTTACATATATATATAGTAATTAAATGTTCGCTATCAATATATGCTGTCATTGCCATTTGCAATTTTACTGCCTTACCATTTGGTCAGAAAACCCTCCTGTCGTTCCAAGACGAAAGTTTTGCCCAAATCTAATGGGTTCACCTACTGTACCTCCATTAACACTGTTAAAATTGTAAAAAGAAGAAAGAGACATTCAAATAATCAGCTCTACTATTCTTTTTGTTTGGTTGGTTTGGTCTATAGTTAGGTCTTGTGGCAACACTTTGTATTAAGTTTACTTTTAAAAATAGGTAAAATATCTTAACTGAAAAGACACTTCATACTTGACTCACTGGTTAAAATATTTAACAGAACAGAAACAGGCTGTATTGATTACTTTTTATGATGTATTCATTAACATGCAGGGTGGAAAGATAACATTCAATGAAAAACCAATGAAAATTCAGAATTGAGGTCCCCTTTAGCATATACTTAATAGAAGCATCTGAAAAATCACAGACTAAAAGCAGGACAGTGTGTGTTTCTGGTCTGTAACAACATATGTTGCTAATAATATATGTAACTGATATTCAATAATTTGGTTCCTTACATCAACATGCATGCTGGTATATCCCTATTTCCAGAATGATTTCTGTATTTTACATTAAAGAATCACTAAGTTAAGTGCTAGACTTTCGAAGTGTATTCAGAGTAAAAAACTTATGTAGCTGATGAACTTAGTTAATGAGGGACTTAATAGCATTCAGTGCCAATGACACTAAGATCAGCCAGCAGCTCAACAAAAATATTTTGGTTGCAGTTCTAGAAGGCCTAAATTACATTCTTGGCATCAAAATTCTTTCTTAGGTCTTACCCAAAGTGTTTTGCTCTATCAGGATTATATGGGTTAATTTTTATTCTTATGCACTGTTACTACTGTTAAATGCATGCACTCAGGCAAAGCCTGCCACTGTTGAGCAGGACCGTGTTCTTCTGTGTCTCTCCCACAACCAGCTGGAATTAAATAGGTCTTAGAGAAAGTGAGTATGTTGTTTGGCTAAGTGTTTTTTAGGGCAACAGAAACACTGTCCATTTCATGCACAGCAAAAGCATTGACACAAATTTCTGCTTTAGTGACCTTATTTGTAGGAGACTGAATAATACTAAGTGATATTTGTACATGTTACAGTGATCTCGATTCTGTTTTCGCACGAGTTCTAAGCTGATTTAAGGTTTCTTGGAATTATTCACAGTAATATGCAGAGTAGAATCAAGCTTAATGCATGACCCAAGTTAAAGAATCTTTCTTAAATAAATTAACCTTACTCAAATTAATTTGTTTATTAGCAAACTTCATTGCATATTTCTCAAAACAAGACATTGAAAGCTAACATAATAATTGAAAACAACTCAGAATAAAGTGCCAAACCTTAAAATACAAAAAGTATTTCGTCCCACAGGGTCCGCACTCTCAACTGCGCTAACCCCATGAGGGGCTTGCAGTGATTCGGCCGAATGCACGGATAGTTCATCCAGATTGATGGCCAAAGTCAGTCTGCCGCAGAGCCCGGGGCAATTCTCCACCGAGGGTTTGCTCTCTGGGTTCAGAAGCATCACAGTGTCTCCATAATGAACAAATCCATCCTTAGACACCGACAGCCGTATCTAAATTAAAATGCACATAATTTTTTTACAGAATTATCTGGACCTAATATCAGAATTATTTTAGCATATAAAATGCAAATCCATAGCGTTCTTAATGCATAAAGAACACTAATAACAGCTACGCTGTTCTATGCGGGGTCATAGAGGATTGACGTGGCCTTCTTAAAAAATTACCTTCTTGAAAAGATTATCTTGCAGTTTGTTTATTTTCTGTATTAAAAGTTCTCCTCGTTCTCTTTTATGCATAAAATCCCTCAAGCGGTCCTGCTCGCAAAGGAGAGAGAGGGGGCAGACATGTAACCCAGCACTCACAATCTCAGGTTTAAACCGAATTTAAAGAATTAGGGGGAAACACCGCGAGGTGAAGCGGCGGGCGAGGCTCCCCGGGAGCCAGAGAGGGGAGAGGGCCCGGCTCCCCCGCTACCTCCTCCAGACTCGCGTCCTCCTTCCAGTTGCCGATGAGGACCCCGGGCCTGTAGGCGGCCATGCTGCCGCCTGGGCCGCGCGGCGTTGGCCGTCGCCATGGCGACCACTCTAGCTAGCGATTGGGCGCTGGAGAGGCGGAGCCCGCCAATGAGCGGCAGCGAGGGGGAGAGAGGGGGCGGGCTCTTCCCACCCACCGGCGACGCGGCCCAGAAACTGAGAGGGCGGGAGCGCCGCGGTGTGTGTGTATGTGTATATGTATGTGTGTGTGTGTGGATTCCCTTGTGTTTTTACCCAGTCTGACGGGAGCTCTGGAAGCAGGAGGCCTGCCTTCCCCGGGGGCGGTTGGGCTGAGGCCCCTGTCCTGCTGCAGGGGTGTGCTGAGAAGGCGGCGGTGCTGCTGGGCCCAAAGCAGCTCTTCATCTCCTCACGCCTGTCTGAGGGGTTTCTGGTCACCTGGCTTAATGCTTGTGCCTTTTCAGGCGTCATTGTACAGTAAAATACTTCTGTTCCTGGTTCAGTTGTGATGAAATAGTTGCACAAGTGGAAGATGCTGAAATTCAAGAGTTTGAGCCAAGCTATAGTCTTAGCGTGGGGCTTTATTAGCAGCCAACTAGTCTTTTATGTTCTGTATTGATCTGGGAGTTGCATCAGCTTAACGCAACAAACGAGGTCATGACACTAACACTACAGTGTTGGTAAATATTATGAATCATAGAATAGGTTGAGTTGGACCTTAAAAGGCCATCTAGTCCAGCCCCCCTGCAAGGGACAGGGGGAGGGACATCTTCCACTAGATCAGGGTGCTCAGAGCCCCGTCCAACCTCACCTGGGATGTTTCCAGGGATCGGGCATCTCCCACCCACCCGGGCAACCTGGACCAGTGTCTCACCACTCTCATTGTAAAAAATTTCTTCCGTATATCTAGTCTGAGTGAATGCATTACGTGAATGTTTTCATTACAAATGTTTTGGGGCTTTATTATTTTAGGTTTGAAATCTACTATGGCAAAATAGGCTAAGTGAATATGCTATGTGTTTACTTTCTAGCTAGCTTAAGCCAATGATTCTCAGCGATGCTGTAGATCTTTGCACAGGACATTTAATCCCTTTACAACTGTCATGGTTTTCTTGCAAGCTTACTATTGTAAGGCTTCAATGCTGGACAAATAAAAAAGCTCAACATAAATGTTTTTTTGTATGGACAGCTGGGCTACATGTTATTATCAGCCAATATGAACAACAATTCACATAAAACCTGGCCCTTTCTGTTTGTTTGTTTGTTTGTTTTTAAATCAAAAGTTACTACACGAAGAGTTATTCAGCACATCCCAAACCTTTTAAGGACTAAATACAATCCATTATTGTTCAAATAGCACCACTTGGTGGTCAGTTCTGGTAAGTGACGCTTACAGACACCTAGCCGTGTTAGAAGCAGTGCTGAAATTGTTTAATTGAAATAGGGAAGAAACTTTGTTCGTTTTGGCCGAATATCAAAAGCAAAACACATTCTGGAAGTACCAGATGTGAGTTGAAATGTGACGTGTTTTCAGAAAAAAAAAAGAGATTTGATTAATTTCCTGTGTTGCTAGTAATTTCTATTTAGCACTTAACATTACGCTTACGCTTTTCATAGATCTAAGGTTTCGATTAGGGTGACTGATTAATCATGCTGGTATGCAAATGATAAAATGGATTTTTAAAATTTTGTTCAAAACTACATAATATATTTGAACTTAAACACTTTACTTTTGCTTATCTCAATGTGCAATGTCTAAGAAGTTTCAATTCTCTAATTATTTTTGTTTCAGAATTAAGCTACTTTAAAATCAATATGTAGTAATCATTTTTATAAAACTATGCATTACATTCAGCCATATTATTAAGAAGAATATATACACTCTGTCTTGCTGTGGGTGTAGGTAATGTGTAGAATCCATAGAAACCTTGATGCACCATCTCTACTTAGTTACTTATAGATTCTGATGCAAATACTATATAGAAAGAGGTATTTGTACTCAAAATATAATTGTGTACAGAAATGCCTCCATGCATTTCTTAGTAGGATTATGCTGTGGCTATCCATGTCACCTGGATGGCGTTCCTTTCTGATTGCATAGTATTCCATTAAAACAAACAAAAAGAGCTCTCCATAAACGTGTTTGTAAATTGAACATCTTTCCTGCAGGAAAGGTTACAGGCCTATTCAACTCAGCTCAGTTTCCTTTTGAGCAGATAAAATCTAAGTTTACCCCTAACGGCTATTTGCATTATTAAATGGTGTGAAGAGAAGCTGTACTTGTGAAAGAATTGGTCTATGTTTTGTGTGTTAACTTATGCCAGCATACAAATTGACCAGACTTAAAGGTATATGAGATTTATCTGAAACATTAGTATTTCCTTTTTTCTTTTTTCTTTCTCCTATGAGGAGAGGCTGAGAGAGTTGGGGCTGTTCAGCCTGGAGAAGAGAAGGCTCCAGGGAGATCTTATTGTGGCTTTCCAGTACCTAAAGGGGACCTACAGGAGAGCTGGGGAGGGAATTTTTACTAGGGCATGTAGTGACAGGACGAGGGGGAATGGCTATAAACTGGAAGAGGGCAGGTTTAGATTAAACATTAGGAAGAAATTTTTCACTTTGAGGGTGGTGAGGCACTGGAACAGGTTGCCCAGGGAGGTTGCTGAGGCCCCATCCCTGGAGGTGTTCAAGGCCAGGCTGGATGGGGCTGTGAGCAACCTGGTCTAGTGGGAGGTGTCCCTGCCTATGGCAGGGGGGTTGGAACTCGATGATCTTTAAGGTCCTTTCCAACCTAAACCATTCTATGACTCTATGATTAAGTCTTTGTTAAATAAAATTATAGCCAGTGTACTTTCAGAGAGATTTCCCCTACTGTTCTAGAATCAGAGCTCTTTCCCCTTTCTCTTTTCTCTTTTTCTTTTTTTAATGAAAGAGAACTCGAAGGTTGAGAAGACCCAAAATGCCATACAGAGCTATCTAAACCATTAGTTTACGTAAAAGGCTGGGCTGGTTAGGCTTTTACTTGCCTCAAGACTGTCAGTAATGTGTGAGATACAGTGTGTTTTGAATACTTTAATATGTAAATGCATTGGTATATATCAGTAGTACAAAGTATCATTGTTTAGTCAAATCCATCATGCGGATGGGTCTGAATAGATGTGAACATAAATTAAGTCCAAGAAAGAAGCACGCTATGTTTATTTAGAGGAAGTAGCAGAGCGTTAAGTTTTTCTGTGAGCTCTTCCACTCATATGCCTTCTTATTTCATGGTGGAAAACATGTATTTTACCTTGTATCTGCTGTTTGGCAATTTATGAAATTCTATTTATAATGAAGAAAAAAATCCTAAAACAATGTTTAATCATATGCAGGTTGGATGTGAATATACCCGCCTTTACTCCCTTGGGAGAGTATTTATGGTTTTTTCCTGTTTTTCTTTGTTTTTCACGTTGAAAATTATGAATGTGTCATATTTGATTAACGGTAAGGACTAAATAATACTGTACAGGAGTGAAATATATGTTCTTCAGGACGATTTGTCTCCTTTCATTTTATTATTTCACACTAGGATTGTTCTGACACATGCTATGAATCAGAGCACGGCTATCATTTTTCTTTGCTGTTATTAGGTTTCTGGCTATTAAAGTGATTAATCTCCTTGTTAATAATATAACTTAAGTTTCTTATTCTAACCTATTCCCCAAACACTCATGTGTTCACAGCACACAAAGAATTAAGTAGTTTATGCGATAAGATTTAAGGACTGTTGTTTTGCCACACGCTTGTACTGATGTCTCCCGTTTTGGCTGTGAATTTCAGTGTGGAGTTTTCCCGTAATGCTTGTTGCTGAGCAGCAATCAACCTGTTCATGGTATAGTAATTTCTGACATGTAGTAATCCATTAAACAGCCCTCTCAGGCTGCCTTTTCAAGAAAGGGGAGCAGGATGCTTGTGTGTTGTATTGGCAGTAAATTTGCTGATGTAGGTAAACCAGTGGAAAGTTTCTCAATATTAGATCTGATTGAAGACATCCAAAATTGCTATGATTGCTCATTTGGTGTTTTATAACCGAAAGATTCTGCTAGAGAGAGGTAAGGGAGCGGGAATAATTTGCAACGTGTCTAAGTGCCAAACACTTGCCAATTAAAGTTTGGATTGAGTTATCCACATCTCCATGATATTTTCATTCTACTGGTCTCTAATTTAGACTTTTACAGAGCATGCACTTTTGAGAAATTGTTGTATAATGGAATATTTTTTCTTCAAATTGAGCTGTTTCATCGTGACTGATCATGCTAGCTAATTGAAGATTTTTTCCTCTGCCTGGCTGAATCTTATTCAGGAGGTGGGCTTGAAAAACCACTAGAGCTCTGAATCTCTCAGAAAAATGTTGTCATTTCAGGAGCAGTAACTTATAAAAAGAACATAGAAATATTAAAGTATGTCTCCAAGGAATAACATTGTCTTTTGCAAAGAGATCTGTATTAACTCTGAGGAAGCTACAATACTTTCATTGGCAAGAAATACCTCAGCTGAGAACTACCGTGTTTATTAGCACAAGTAGGAACACCATTAACAAAGCCATATTGTTTCTTGTGTTTCTCTTCACAGGACTGTGCACTATGTATGCCTACTTTCAGGCAATTTAAAAATTCTTATTTTTCAAGCTAAGGAGTATTTATTCAATGTATCATGACCAGAATAATGACCATGGCCATATCATTGGCTAGGCAAAAGGTTTATATTTAATTTGCAGTATTTAATGTACGTGATATGATCTCAGCTGACTTCTTTTAAACACTGCTTCCCAGGGACCTACTTGAAGAGACTTTTGTTAAGTGATGTTCCACCCTACTTCCAATATATCGAGTGCATTGCATTTACTGAACTACAAAGTTCTGTCATCACCCACAGGCACTGACACAAAATCATTGTGGGTGAGGCGTGGTCCTATTTATAAAGGGTGGAAATCAGGTCATTGTCTCTCTTGTTTACGGATCTGTTTAAACTTTGGTTTCCATGAATACTCATGCTTGAGATTTTGAAATT